GAGAGAGAGAGAGAGAGAGAGAGAGAGAGAGAGAGAGAGAGAGAGAGAGAGAGAGAGAGAGCTGGTCGCTATTTCAGGAGAACAGCTCCCCAGACTCAGACTCAGCATTTGGACTGATGACCATTGCGGGACATCGACAAAAGACTATTATCATCAGCTGATACATTGAGTTGTAGCCTCTTCTTCTTCGTCTTCTTCTTCGTCTTTTTCTTCTTCTTCTCCTTCTTCTTCTCCTCCTCCTCCTTCTCCTCCTCCCTCCCACATTCATCTCCTTCCCCACATCCATCATCTGTGATACTTCTCCCCGTGTGTATGTGGCAAGGAGGGATCTCTTTCCCTGTATGCCCCGCCTCCCATCTCTCACGTGTGATGATGTATGTGCATGCTGACTCCAGAGTCTGACGGGTCAGATAGATCTTAGTCTTCTGCTGCTTCGCATTGTCGTTTCTCCTCACGTTGGTGATTCTTGGTTCTGCGCCATGCCTATAAATTTATAGGCATGCGACCTACACTTACAACTACGAGTCTATGCAAGCATGAGTTTCTTTCCTCTCCAGTATTCATGCAAGCACAATACTAAGCACTCGTCAGACATCCATGAAAACTGGGATGATATGGAGATGAGAAGCGCGGCCCCTGTGCATGTATGGTGCAGAAGAATAGAGAAAGGGTCCAAATTATTTACACAAGCAGGGCCAGCACAGCTCTGCCTACAAAAATTAGAATTTGGATGAGTCAATGCTAATTCTTACTAGTATTGAAAGTAAACAGGATAGTCAAGTGAGGGGACACTTGATGAAAAACGGACTTCCAGAGGCCCTAAGATAAGATAGGGTTGATGAAAAACACTGCTCGACTGGTAACGATTAAAAAACGAAAAAAAAGTAAATAGAAACCCTTTCAGAAACATATTTTCCAGTTAATACGCCAATATGCTCTTTGGACCATTTGGAAGCGTCGATGTCAAGCCACAATGGAAGGAATAACAATGCATAAACAGGAGGCGAGAGAGAATTTCCTTGTACTCATAGAAACACATCTCAAGGCTCAGTGGAAAGGGGTGAGAACTCAGATACGACAACAACCACAACACGAGAAAGACATCATGACCACATTCAAACGGAACATACTAGGACAGGGAGCAGTAGCAGTCATCCAAGGATCGCAACTTTTGTTTAAATGGAGAGGGGGAGAAAGTAAGTAACAGTTTGCGAGAACGGGAATAATTTTGGGGTGGATCGTAAGGGAGGGTTTAGGGGGTAAGAAAGGGTTTAGGGTTTTTTGGACCAAGGTCAGGGTTAAACGGATGAGTGTTAAACTGGGATTTATAGGGTTAGGGTGCCACAGGGACAGAGTACTACAGCTAAAGGTGTCTCTAGGTTTTTCAACAAGGGGGGTTTAGGGTTTTGAAAAGGATTTAGGGTTTAAGGAGCGGAATGAGCGTCAACAGCTAAAGATTTTTCTTGGTTTTCAGGGCTCATCCGGCAGGTGCCTTTACAGGGCCTGAGAGGAAAAGACTTAGCGGACCAACATTATGCTTGAATAGGCGATGTAAGATAGGATAACTTAGGCAGGGGAGAGGGGTGG